GGTTGGGATGATAAATTTCAGTTTTATTGATATTTTTCAGATTTTATATAAGTTATTTCATCTTTGATTTGGCATGTATATGATTAGTAGAAGCTAGTTTAGTGTTAAGGTGGAATTTCTAACTTTTAATCGCAATTAGTGATAGTTCTATGCAAAGTTTACCTTAAGAAGTGAAATTTTAATTTTTGTTAAGTTTGTAATTTTGATATAGGTTGTCCAATCGTATTAGAAGGTGATTGAGCTTTGATATGCATGTTTACAACTTCAATAAGTGATTTTTTTACTTGAATTGGGAAATTTCAGCTTTGATGTCTTTCGGTTAATTTCTATTTGTGTGAATTTTGAAGGGTTTTGATAGACTAGAATAAGCCTTGTAATATCTTGTGGCTTTGATTGTGTTGGGATTACTGTGGTTTACACCTTGATTTTCAAGGAGAAAAGGATTGAAAATAGGAGAGGTGCTGCCAAAACTTTTGTATCCAGGGTTAAGTTAACAGGAGGTAGCGTAGTGATGTAATCTTGATTGGGTTTGAGTTGGGAGTTGAAACTTTAAAGAAAACTAGACAATTTGGTGAATTTCAGCTCTGCCCTATTTTTGGAATCAATTTGTGCTGCGAATTTCTCCATGTTTTAGACTGAATCAGCTTTTAGACAAAACATGAAAGTTATTGGGATTTGAGTTAACTTTCTACCTGCAAAATTTTAGATCAATTGAATCATTTTAGCTTATAATTTGGCCAGAGCACTCCTGACTGCGCAAAAACTCTAATTTTTCTGACCTGTTTTTCATGTGCTTTTGACTGTCCATTTTTTACCCTGAAAATGTGAGAATTGGGTGTCGATGTCTTCATAGAAAATGTAAGTCTAGGTCTTATTTTGAAACATCATAAAATTTTTCTCGAGCCGATAAGTGTAGCTTCAGTTGTGATCAAAACACCAAAGGATGGTAAAGCTGCTATCTTCATTGTTTCTCGTTGCATTTCTCTTGTTTTTCGTTTCCTTGATCTGACTTAACATTTACTTCTCAAGTGTTCTAAACCTGATTTCCAACATTCTAAACAAGTATTCGAAACATGATTTTTAGTTGCACATATTGGTTTTGAACTTAACCGCTTTTGATCATTTTCTTTTACAAATTATGCGTGCACCTTGCCTATATGACTTACTATCCTTTTCTGGCCTTTTTACTTTCATATAGAAATATAAGTTATGTAGCTTGCACTCGTATATGATTGGCTCTTTGTAGATAATATTTGACTGCAGATTTCGGGAGTGGCCAAGATGCCGGCCCTGAACTAAATTTTGATAAAACGTGACTTGTTTAAGGTGAGTGTTTCTTGCATGTTTGTGTATTAAATGACTGTGTACTTGTTGTGAATCTTCGATTGAGTGTTAAATGGCTTCCAATGACTGTTAAATGGATTTTCAATGGTCGAGTGTGTACTTTATTGCACTTGATCTAAGCGAAAGTGAATTTCTAATGATTAACTGATTGGGCATTACCTGTGCATGAATGTAAACTATGTGGGTTGTATGGTACCGCATTGGCTGAATTGGACCCTTGCCCTTTGTTGCCAGTCGACTTGAGTCAGAAATGGACTCGATCGGGCGACTGGTGACCTTGAGATAATTTTTGGTATACTCGAGTATGACCACGAAATTTGGTGGAGAATTGGCCAGTGAATTGGCTAGTGGCGAGAAATGAAATGAATGAATGGAAATGTTGAATTTATAAGGGAAGAAATGAATGATTAAATGAAGGAGAATGACTAGCTGAATGAATGAATAATTGAACGAATAGCTCCACGCGAGCATGTATCCTTTTAATGAGTGTATTCTCATTGTTTTTATATTGTGAATGTTTTCTCGATTGATTGTTATTAACTGAATAATATCCTTGTTTCAATTGCTTGATTATGTGCATGGGAACCTCACTGAGTTTTAACTCATTCCTTTAGTTTTTGTTTTTCTTACAGGGTTCTTGAGCAAGGACGGGTGATTAGAGAAAGACTAAACTTTTGACTAGAACTTTTGTTGTGTAATAGTGATAGTATTAGTAGTTGGTTGGATCCTGAGCTTTTGTACTTAACCTTGAGGATTGTATATCTGTGTTAATGATTGTATATATGTTAAGTTTGATTGGCACATCTTACTTGCTCTTGAAGCTATAAGTGAGTGAACGAGTCCTGACGAGAGTTGGGTAGGCGGTCCGCCGAACCCCTTGGTTCGCCTTAGGAGGAGGTAGGGTCGTCAAAGGCCATAAGCAAAAGGCAGAAGAGGTATATGTTGTGCAGCCTGTTGGTTATGTTAGAAATGGTCAATAAAACAAAGTGTATAGATGGGAAAAGGCATTGTATGGGTTGAAACAAGCTCCTAGAGCTTAGGATACTTGCATTGATTCTTATTTTATTAAGCATGGTTTTCTGAGATGTCCATATGATCATACTCTGTACATCAAATTCAACCTTGGAAGAGATGTCCTTATTGTATGCTTGTATGTGGATGACTTGATATTTACAGGCAATAATCCCAAACTAATTTCTAAATTCAGGGAGGCCATGATTAGTCAATTTGAGATGACAGATTTGGGATTGATGTCTTATTTTCTTGGTATTGTGGTTCATTAGTTGGATGGTGGAATTTTTATCTCACAAAGGAAGTATGCAAGTGATATTCTAAAGAAGTTTAAGATGGATGTGGCTAAACCAATGATGACCCTGGTTGAAGAAATATTGAAATTAACCAAAGATGGTACTGGTGATTTTGTTGATGCTACTTACTTTAGGACGTTGGTAGGAAGTCTCAAGTATTTAACTTTCACGAGACCTGAATCACTTATGGAGTTGGTTTGATTAGCAGATTCATGGAATCTCTGCGCCAGTCTCACTTGCAAGCTTTGATTGGACTGGTGACATAATACAAAGGAGGAGCACTTCTGGTTATGCATTTTACTTGGGATCTGGTGTATTTTCTTGGTCCTCAAAGAAACAATAGGTGGTTGCTTTGTCCACAGCAGAAGAGGAGTACATGGCGGCCACAAGTAGTGCTACTCAAGCACTTTGGTTGCGGAGAATGCTTGGATTCTTACAACACAAGCAAGATGGTCCTACCAAAATATTTTGTGATAGTTTGTCTGCGATTGAGTTGACAAAAAATTCAATTTTTCATGGGCGCAGCAAACATATTGACATCAAGTATCATTTTATTTGTGAGTTCGTTCAACAGCAAGAAATTGTCATTGATTATTGCAGAAGTGAAGATCAAGTAGCTGATATTTTGACAAAACTACTCAAATTGGAGAGGTTCATGAAATTGAAGAAAATGCTCAGCATGGTGAAATTTGAAGAGCTTAGTTTAAGGGAGGCAATGTAGGAAAATAAACCAAGTTATTTTAGTTTCCTAATTCGTTTTGGTATCTTATTTGTTTAGTTTTCATATTAGATTAGGAAATCTCAAATTAGTTTTCAAATAAGTTTTGGTTTACAACCGTATTTGTTTTAGGAAATTTTGGAGTCTATAAATACTAATAGTCTAGTAGGTTATTGTGTGGAGAGTTGAGTTGAGTCTAGAGATTAGACCTGAGAGAAAATTTCATAGTTGAGATTTGTAAGTTGTTGTGACCGAAAGGCTACGACTTAGTATTTATTTTGAGTTAAATAAATTATTGAGTGTTTGTTCTCTTCCTCTTCACATATATTTTTTATGTGTTAGAATTGCTTCCGCTGTGTGCACGGGGATTCTTCATCCCAACATTTACCAAAAATATGTGGGCCTGCCCCGACATTGTAGTGGCATCAACAAAGGCTGTCAATTGTCACAATGAGCTCAATTCAATTTGCATACGAAAAGGCATCTTTTATTTCTTTGTTTTGTTGCCCTGTCATAGCATGTTTTTGTCAAATTGGAATGTCTGAATGCTAGGAATATTCAATATGTGACCACTGATAAGAGATGCCATGAAACTGCCAATATGGGAAGGGATTCCATGACCTTGTTGTATCTACTGATTGAAAAGCCTGAACTGCAGAGCATAGGATGTTCGCTTTCAAGCATTTAATTCTTCATGCCATATTCCTCTTTGTTCCTAGACATTCTTACCCCACTTGCAGTTTTATGTTCTGGAACGAAATATTTCAATCTTTTTATTTCAGTGAAGAGAAGAACAGATTATACTACATCGATCTCTAACTTAACTAAAGCTGAGAGATCAAGTTGATCATACACTCGCATGGCTTGTATAATGACTCCAAAGGCTGGCCTCGGCCCCCATTTGAGCCTATATTTTCTTCCAAATCCTTCATTGCAGGCCCTATTCATTCCCATTCAAAGCATTGAATCAAAGTGCCCAATGACAATGCAACTAACTTCATAGCCAAAGCGGCTCCTGGACAAGCTCTCTTCTCATTTCCAAATGGAAGAAAATTGAACCCTTCATCATAAATCCCTTCAAATCTTTCCGGCTTAAACTTGTTTGCTTCTTCCCAAACATTAGGGTCTCCATGGATGCCAGTTTTCTCCAGTCATTGTCACTTTCAACTCTTATTCTTTGAATTCTTCAATGAGGGCAAACTAAGATACTCAATTTGAAAGTAGTGCAATTACCATTGTATTGGTATAATGATTGTTTCCTTTTGGTTCTTCACACCGTTTTGTTTGCTTCTTCCCAAACATTAGGGTCTCCATGGATGCCAGTTTTCTCCAGTCATTGTCACTTTCAACTCTTATTCTTTGAATTCTTCAATGAGGGCAAACTAAGATACTCAATTTGAAAGTAGTGCAATTACCATTGTATTGGTATAATGATTGTTTCCTTTTGGTTCTTCACACCGTTTTCATTATTTTGGCTTGTGGGATTGTGCTTTGCATCTCCTTCTCCGCAACGTAGAATTGGAATCATTTAATGTTCCACATTTCCATGTAAAATACTTAAGTTTGTATAATTGTAGCGTCAACTTGTACTGAAAGAAAGTTACAACTACAAATCTGAAATTGTAAGAGGAGCTCAAAACCAAAAATCAGACACTCATATCTTGATATTTAAATTCAAAAAAAAAAAAAGAAATCCCAATTTATCTCAATAGAACAACATATCTAACTTAAAGCTGAGAAATTGTTTTGATCATCGGTGGGCGTGGCCTGTAAGATGCCTCCAAAGGCTTGGCCTTGCCCAAAGTTGCTCCTTGATTTTCTTCCAAATCCACCATTTCAGGCCCTGCTCTTTCCCACTCAAAGCATTGAATCAGGGTGCCCAATGTCAACCCAACCAACCTTATGGCCATGGCAGCTCCTGGACAAATTCTCCTGCCTTTTCCAAATGGAAGAAATTTGAACCCTTCATTCCACCCTCCCTCATCCATTCCTTCAAATCTTTCTGGCTTATACTTGTTGGGCTCTTCCCAAACATTGGGGTCCCTGTGAATTGCCCAAGCATTCACTAACAAAGTTGTACCTTTTGGAACCTTGTAGCCTCCTATGGTGCAATCCTCAGATGAAAAATGAGGCACAAGAGTTGGTGCCGCAGGAAATAACCTTAGTGTCTCGTTGATTATGCAGCGTAAATAAGGCAATTTGGAGAGATCGGAATCATTTAGCAGATGGCCAGGCTGCATTTTTTCTAGCTCATCTCTTGCCTTTTGCAGTACATTAGGGTGATTTAATAGGCTGGACAATGCCCACTCCATTGTCTGAGATGTAGTATGTGTTCCGGCTGATAACATTATCTACACAAGAAGTAATGTACAGTCAAATTCAATGCAACTTTTTGAATGAATAAGAAAAGAATAGGAATTAGTTTTTAGAATCAAGTTGTTGACAAATAATGTCATTTCTCTTGCTATAGATCATGAATCAATAATTTACACTTTTGACATTGATCGCAAATAAATGTCCACCAGTCAACATAAGAAGGGAACTATATATTATGGCATGTGATATCTATAGACCTCAATTATATGTAAAGGCATGAAGGAACTACCTTTTTTTGGGTGTTATTGCCAATATTCACATCTAAATTATCACCAATTTGCTTGTTACTCTCTAAATTGCTAATTTTAGAACTTCAGTATCTTGTTCTTTTGTTGGCCCATTGGTCAAATCCAAATAACTTTTTCTATAGTTAGTTTAGAAGGCTTCAAGTATCCTTAATCTGTTGTTTGTCCAAATTCTCTAATTCGTTTAGGGGTATTAAAGTATTTTATTCTAAAGTTGCTAAAAGAATTAATTGATTTTATCTTATTTGGACGATGTGCCCCAAAATTGATAGTATATTATACTTAAGTATCACAATTCATAGTTCAGAGTATAAACTGAAAAGCCAAAATTAAATAGGGGGTTAAATGTAGAAAACCCCCATGAACTATTACACTAGTTGCATTTTGTACCCTAAACTATTTTAATAGGCACTTTTCACCCTTAGTCAACTTTAAAATAATAAGAAAATTAACTCCATCTAAATAATTGATGAGATGACCAATTTTTCCTCCATTAAAAGCTTTTAAGTGACAAAAATACCCTTTTGGTAGAAAAAATTTGTCACTTTAAATGGATTAATTTTCACTTCATAATAAAATTCTAATTTGAAACATATAACAATAAAATATATGATCACTTTGAATGACAATTAAAACAAAAGAAGCAGGAAAAAACAAGAAAATGAATAAATTCAATTCAAGAATCTCATCAACCTTATTTTACTATGTATTTCAAGTTAGCCTAGGTAAGAAAAGATTGTAGTCAAGGAAAAGTAAATAATTTTGGTGTTTTATTAAAATTTTGTAGCCCAATATTTTGTTTCCTAATATATGGCTTCTAATTTTGGTTCGGTATTGAAATTTTATTGCAATTATTGTGCTAAATTCATATGCAAATTTTTGGGTTCTACTCCAATTTTATGCTTGTGAATATTTCAAATGAAATTTTGCTACATTATGATGCGTTGAAGTAAATTATGAGATTATAAAAATTGCAAGAGTAATCACTCAATATTTCTATATTTTGCCCCCATTTTGACCCCAATAGTCTTAATCCTCATTCAAATCGATTTTTTATGTGTTAACAATTAGACTTTTTGATATAAAGTGAAAATTAGTCTATTTAAATTAGTAATCTTCCCCACCAAAATATTATTTTTATCACTTAAGTTTTAATGGAGGATAAATTAATAATTTCATCAATTATTTGGATGAAATTAATTTTCATGTTTTTTTTTAGTTAACTATAGGTGTAAAGTGCCTATTAAAATACTTTAGAGTGTAAAGTCCAACCAGTGAACTAGTTCATGGGAGTTTTATGCATTTAAGCCTTAAATACCTTTTTAAAATGTCTTTAGTAATTGATAGAGTTCTTTTTTTTAAAAAAAAAAGTCCAAAAATTTCCGACTTGACGTGGCTTGAGTTGTACATGATTAAATTTTGGATTTGTGCACATTTTTCTGTATATTTTTCAAAAAGAGCCTTCAGAACGACCAATTCTAAAACTATCTCACAGCCTCCACCGTTGACTTAAACCCAGCCACAAGTATCACGGTTAACGTCTCATCACTTAATCTGATTTGCTTCTATTGTCCGCTGTCAAATATCATCACAGTTAATGTTTAAATTTTTTGATGTACGAATATATCATAATATTGTATTAAATATATATCAAATATTGTATTCATGTATATCACTTTTATTTTAAATAAAATAATATCATATAATTACACACCAAATAATATAAAAAATATAACAATTGGGCCAAACTACGCCAAATCTCTCCCCTCTCCCGTCAAGAAGACTTATCCAATTTGCAAGTTGACGAACATGTGGACCAAATTTTTGAAAAGACTTTCACCAAATTTCTTATCTAGACACCAACAGAAGTTAGTGGCATATACCATTTCCCCACTCACCGCCACTAGATCCGGTGCCTATCTACAGTCGGACGTGTTTTCTACAGTTCAGATCAGACCACAACATCAAGATACGGTTTAATTTGATCATTTCAATATTCAGATCAAATCGAGCTAATATGATCCAATTTCAACCATGAAAAGCATGCGGTTGTGGATCACTGCATCCCTCACCACTAGTCTTGGCGCTACCACTAAATATGGCTAAGACAATTTGTGCTACTGCTGCTACATGGGTGAGATGACCTTGTCCTAATGAATTATAGACCAATTTGAGAAAGAGATTCAAGTAGAAGAGACTTACTTGTATAATTCCTTTAACAATTTCGTCAGTGTAGTATTCGGGTTCTTCTTCTTGTAGAGATAACAATTTTTGAATAATTGTTTTCCTTCTCTCTGTCGAACAAGAACCGTCTTCTGCTTCCTCTTTACGTGTTTGATCAATCAGGCCCTGAAGAAACTCGTCCCTCTTCTGGTGCAAACTGATTACACCTTTCTCCAACCCTCCATAGCCAACCCACCTCAAGATTGGAATATAATCACAAAGATCAGTGAGTGCTTGCGGTGAAAATATATCACCTGGCTGATCAGATGGCCATCTTTTTCCAGCAACTATTTTCATTATCACGTTGAATAATAACTCCCGGAACAAAGAACTCATGTCCTTAACTTTCCAGGTTTTCTCATCAGAGTTACTGGAAAACAAATTTTTGATGATGAAATGGATTTCTTCAGTCCAGATGGAGGAGAAACGCTGGAGTCGAATCGAAGAAAACATATGGATGGTTGTGACTCGGCGGAGATTTCGCCAGTGATCTCCATAAGGGGAGAGTATGAGAATAGTTGAGTTGTAGCCAAGGTATTTACTGGAAACTGACTCAGGCCGGTTCGCGAAAATAATATCATTGGTCTTGGTTAAGCATTCCTCTGCAAGAGATGGCGAGGAAACAACAAGGAAAGGACGAATCCCAAAATGAAGGAAAATCAGGGGACCATATTTGATGGAGAGCTTTTGCAGGGCAAGGTGAGGGGCAGTCTTCACAAGGTGAAGATGGCCCAAAATTGGAAGAGCTGGAGGACTTGGAGGCTGCAGTTTTCGGTTCTTTTTTCGGAGATACTGATACTTTACAGCAATCAAGAATATGAAGAGACCTAGAATGGTGTAGAGTAACTCCATGATCAAGGCTCAAGATGCAAGAAGCAAGGAGAAAGATGTTTGTCGTTGACTTTATGTGCAGTGTAGTAATTTTGCATTTGGGCACTCTCTGATCACCAGTATCACTTGTTTCATACATGAGCATCAATATTGATTCAATAAATAGGGAGTGGGATGGGTCAGGTTGAATTGAATAGCAGAATGGAAGGGATCATGAGTAAGAGATTTTGATTCAAAATCTCTCACTTACTAAAAGTTACAATATTAATTCAAAAAATATGGACAATAAATCAACAAATCCAAGCACTAAGATGATATCATTAAAACACATAATTAAGGAACTTGATTTTTGACCAACCAACAAATAAATGTTTCCATAATTACCTCTTAACTTGAATTTAAATTTTGTTTGTTGCTTTAGAATTTGGGAATTTTATAATAGTTTGTTAAAGCGTTTAATGCTAAAACATGACATTAATACCGTCTGACTCTTTTTTTATGAAGCGTAAAAAAGGGCAAATTGGTCTCTTTTCATTTTTCTCTTTTAGGCTATGACAAATAATTTGGGACAAACTAAAATAGAAAGCAAACCTAATAAAATAAGGCGGAGGAAGTAATTCTTTCCCTCATTAATACTTGTCTTACTATAAATATCATTTATTTAATTTGAAGTTCACCCCATAATTAATTATTGCATAGTGGAGTTGCTTTGACAAGTGACCATTGAAGAGAGTCCTTGCAGCTATCATGTTTCACTTCATTTTTCATGTGTGGGTAAAAGTAGATCTAAGGCAATAGCTGGGCAATTTTGAAATGAATAAGATTGAAACGTGGGCCTATGAGTTTTAGTTCCTTCTATCATGTTTCTACATTTTGGTGCTTCCCAAATTTGGGATCATGCATGTAATAATCTAAATTTTGTGCATCTTTCCAGAGATATTTGCTGGCAGTACCCAAAATTTATATATTATATATGACCAGCCCCAATACTTCAGTGGCATCAAACAAAGGTTGTGAGTTGTCTTAATTTTATTTGCTTTCGAAAAAGTTAAGTGTGTTTTATTTTAAAGCCTGATAATAGAGCTATGGTTTGATGAACCCTGCCAAAGACAACAAACTCTTACCTTCAGAAATCCAAAAGACAAAAAGTATACGTCTTTCTTGCTCAAAATGCAAAAGATCAAACATCATGACTATATTTCATAAAGCCTGATTCCAGGTAATGTTAACCAAAAAAAAAGAAGAAATAAAAATTTTTTTTATGGTAATCACCATTCACAAATTTCCATCAGTGGATAGATAAACTTTTTTTTGCCTTTATATTCTCAACTCTGTTAATACAAACCTTGGCAGTATGACATTACCAAAGAAAGTGTGTCAAACATCAAATTTCAAGAAAAGGAAAAGAAATAAAAAAGAAGAAGAAGAAGAACTTACCTCCACAATAAGTTACTGGAAGTGCCAGTGGCAGTGGACTTAATTGGGCGAAATAATCTCTTTTTTTTCCCTAAATTTGTTGGAGGAAATAGAGCAAATGAACTTTTTTACTAAACCATTTTAGTGCTTCAACTCCTAACTTTAGCTAACTAAGTCCTCGAAGTATTTTGTGGTAGCCAATTTTGTCCTTGTGTGATTGAGCTACCCAAATGTTACATTTTCTGCATAGACTAGCTAGCCAACCGTCAAATATGCATGCTCTATAGTGGTGGAATGAATTGTTCATGCTGTAAATTGTACCCTTATAAGTAGATAGATTTAGCAAGAATTGGAAGATTAGTACCAGTTGAGACTTAGATCGGAAATTTTTTGCTCGAGTCATTTGCTAGTGGTGTACTGTTGTAGTTGACTAATTAGATTGTATTTTATTTAGAGTGTGCTGAATAGTGTATAACTATGTTGGGAAAGAGGTACCAGTACAGGCTCACAATATCAGAGTTAGCCCAGAATAAATTTCTCTTTTCCCAAGTACCAATTAAAATAGAAATAAATCAAATCACCAAGTAATAATGTCAGCAGTGATAATAAAATGCAAGAAAAATAGAAGGTACAGGACACCAAAATTTTTACGTGGAAAATCCAATTGGAAAAAATCACGGGACCTAATCCAATCAAAATTTTCACTATCACAATAATGTGAATACACAGGTCTATCCGAAATATTCGAACAATAATAATATCACCACCACCAATCAAGTGAAATTGCTACAAAATCACCCCAAAAAATTACAACTGTCAAAGAAGTGAGTTTGGAAAAGTGTTACCAAACGAAGAGAAAATCTGAAATCTGAACCGGTAGATGAGTAGAGCTTGACAAGAGGATCGCGTGTGTAAAATTTCATCTCAATCGGGTTTCAAATCACTCTCCAATTAAGATCTTAAAGTTTCTCTCTCTCTTCGTTTTTCTCTCAACCAGCAAAAAATGGCGGCTGTCCTTTTTTTTTTCTCTCGCACGAGGACCGAAGAATTGAAATTACCTCATGCGGCTGCCGCTTGTAGTTAAACTTGAGAAGCCCTCAAGTGTTGTTTACTTGCACAAATGGGTTGGCCCACAAATGGGCTGGCCCACACCCAACAATCTCCCCCTCCAGTTCATTTGAGGGGTTCCACTAACCTTGTTTCTTGTCTGTAAAATAAAAGTTTTTCCTTAGACAGTGCTTTGGTAAATATATCAGCACCATTATCATTTGTATGCACCTTCTCAAGTGTCAATAACTTAGAATCCAATACTTCCCGAATCCAATGATATCTCACATCAATATGTTTGGATCAAGAGTGAAATTTAGAGTTCTTACACAAATGAACAGCACTCTGACTGTCACAATAAATACTATACTTCTCTTGTAGATAGATTTAGCAAGAATTGGAAGATTAGTACGAGTTGAGACTTAGATCGGAAATTTTTTGCTCAAGTCATTTGCCAGTGGTTTACTGTTGTAGTTGACTAGTTAGATTGTATTTTATTTAGAGTGTGCTGAGTAGTGTATAACTATTCTTTTTTTTTTTCGGTATTGGCCATTGGAACGTGTGGGATAATTTTTCCCTGATTTCAACTTAATAAAAATATGATATTTTCGGGGTAGAGGGAGAGGCCAAGCCATCTACTTCGGGAGCTTACGAGGAAGCCATCTTCGGGAATCACCAAGGCTCCGATTAAAAAGCAAATTTTCCATGGCAAATCGAGTTGCTTATTGCCGTTGTTCTAAGATAACACATATAAAAACTTCTTGGAAAAATGCCAACCTCACAAGAAGATTTCATCGATGCTGCAAATCTATGAGTTTGGATAGTAGATTATTTAGGATAATTTTTTGAAAAAATAATATAATACTTTTTTGATGTGATGTATGCGAGATAAAATAGTGATGTACCAATTTTTTTTATTGTAATGTATATGAAATAAAAAAATTGTTAAAAAATGTGTTGTGATACAAGCAAATAAATTTTTTTAAAAATAATTCAGTACCCAAATAAAGTAACTAGTTACTGAGTGTTAAACAGCTGTTGACTTAATCAGCTAATGAACTAAAGTTGAAGTACTATTTTGATCATTTGGGTGGGGACTATTAATGCAAAACTCAGGGTCGGAAGGTAGAGCTTGGGAAATTGATTCAACTTTCCTCAGCTTCCTCCCCCCACGAGAATACCATCCTACTGACCATAGTGTAGAAAAACTCGTATTACATCGAATAGTATACGTTCACAGCAACAGTTCTCAAGAAAATCAATGAATATGCAAAGGGAAAAATGTTTTATTTTACATTATTTATTTAATTTTTTTGGTTCAAGAAAAGACTCAAAGTGTTACACGAGAAAGGCTTGAAAGCCGAATTAAAAACCTCTCCGCCAGCATTCATTCTGAGTCAGAATCAAATTCTTCATGAAATTCTCAGTTGGATTACTTATAACTTCCTCGTTTGTAGATAAAGCGGATTCGAAATTTTCTTTCATTTCAAGGCATAACTTGTATCACCTCAAAAAATGTCCCTACCAACTAAATTAAGTTTTAAGAATAATTTTTTCAATTTAACAATATGTGAAGGCTCCAGCAACAACCCAAAAGAAATGAAAGTGACACTTTAAATAACAAAGAATTCAGTTACAAAAAGCAACTCAAATTAGGCAATCTAAGGAATCGAAGGTAGACCATCTTTTATTCTATTTCTATATCATAAAGTTGTGTTAGTATGGAATATTATTTCCAAAAATAAAAACTCCACGCGGCTTACAAAGAAATCCAATGTCTTCGCTACTTCTTGTTTATAAATCCTATGGGATGCGATCCTATGTGACCACCCTTATTACCAACAATACAAAAGTGACTGAAAACGCAAGGCCTTGAATAATATTTTCCCACAAAAATTAATCATACTTTTCAAAAAAACCACCTAATAAACTTTTATGATATCATACTTCAGAAAAATACATCAATTCATGACAAAATTTTAAAATTTCCATTCAAACAATATGTATTTTATGAGCTATAATAAAATAACAGGCTCATATGATACTTTCTTTCACATACTTGCATCTATAACTATTCGATAAAATTATAATCAATGTCACGTCTCACATACAAAAATACAATTTAAAACTACTGTTAATAGAGCATAAGATTTAAATCTATGGTAAATAAGTGTGTAATTTTAAGTGTAAATATAATAAACTCGCAGTTGCAATTGAACTTCTAATCATACTTTTGAGAAAAAACTTGTACAATGCGGGTACGCATAGCACTTCACATTATTCTCACTCAGTATTTTATTAACTATTCTCTTAATATTATTTGTAATTTAATTCAAATTCTTCTTTGTCAAAACTAATATGGAGATTAGTTTAAATCTCTATCAGTCCTCGCAAGAAACCAGTCATAGCAAACCGTGGGGAAATACAATTGGGGCAGTAGAAGTTTTGGAGAGGTTTGAGGATCAGGATTAACCCAAAATATATATAAGGCTCAGATCACGTGGTGTAAATAGTTTTCACGACATATTTATCTAATTCACAAAAATTTATTTTAAATTTACGTTGCATTCAAAATGATTCACATGACTGAATGAAAGGCTTAGATCTTGTTAAAATAGACAAAATCATTCCGAAACAGTTCACATGGCAATCATTTGTGCCCTTAACCTGGCGAAATATGCAATTTATTGGAAACTCATTATTTAAGGCAAGTGATATATGGTCCTGCTGCAGCACTCTCTTTCCGAGCTTTGATAAGCATCTAAAATTCACAATTCACGTTACTATTAGACATGGGATGTATGTCTCTTGCAGTTTTAACTGGCTT